AAAGCTGCTTGTTATCGTAGACGCCAATGTGGAAGTAGTCTGTCTCTGGAAGCCCGTCTGGGCACATTTCACTAAGACAGCAGAAGGAAGGTTGTTCCAGTAGTATCTGCAGCTGCTCTTACTCACAATTGCATTCCCTTTGCTTCTGGATCGACTTCTGGACTGAAATCTCGCTTCAAGTACGGTACCCTCTTCTGATAGTACCGTACTGTACTTGTACAGAAGACATCTCGTAAGCTCTCCCCACAATACCACTCTTCACAATATCGTTTCATACAATGTCGCTTCTGATACACTTTGCTCAACAGCTACTTGCTGAGAGTATACTTTTTGCATTAGACTGATATATGGCTTCGCATGATACACTCGTTAAATACCGGTACACTTACAGTAGATCGCAGTACACTCGTTAGCTACACTTACTTCTAGTATATTGCAGTACAGCCTGAGATTCAACTCTGCTAACACACTGCTAACGTCAACTACGGTACGCCCATCTACAACTACAGCACGTGGTAGTACGGTAATGCACTCACCTAACGTCACACATCATCTACATACTGTACAGCACGTAATAGTAATATTCAAGTACCGGTACACTCAATTGGTACACTCAAGTGACCAAGTACACATCTACAACACGTAATAGTAATATCGTCTACTTGTACAACACGTAATAGTAATATTCATTGTTCAGTCTAGGTCTACAACGGTGCGTCTCCTGTACGGTGCCTACAACAAACTCGCCTTGATGTCGCGCAGCTGCTGCAGATTGGCCTCGGACTCGCGGATGGCGTCCTCGAGCTCGGCCTCGTCGAGGTCCTCGGCGTTGTCAGCACCTCCAGCAGCCGCGGTTCGGGGCTTGGAAAAGTCAACCATCTTGGGGTTGGCGCCCTCGAACGGCACAAAGAAGCGGCCCGGCGTGCGCTGGCTCTTGCCGACGCGCTCGTCGATCCAGTGCCACAGCTCGTACTCCTCCTCCATGACGAAGATTTCGAGCTTCTTGGCGTCGGACAGGCCCGCAAAGTCGAACTTGTGCGTCGTCGTGTGGCCCGAGCGGAAGAGCCCCACGATGAACCACAGCACCCACACGCCGCCGAGAACAGCGCCCACAATGGGCAAGGGGAGCGAGCCCAGCACGGGGATCTGGCTCCACGTCTCCGCAAACTGGTGGAGAGCTCCGCCGGACTGCTGGGGAGGGGCTGAGGACGGAACCTCCGCGGGTGCAGCCTCGGCCTTGTGGTGGTGGTGGCTCTTGTGCTTGGCGTGGCCCTTTTTGGCGGGCACGGCAGCTGCGGCAGGTCTGGACGCCTTGCCCGAGCCCTTGACGTGCTCGTTGAGGTACGGAATGAGGTCTGCGGCAAAGGCCATCTGGCCGTCGTTGCCGCCCTTCTCGATGGCGCTCTTGATCCACGACTTGCCGGTCCAGTCGAACCAGCAGCTCATCATCACCTGCGTGTGGTTGTTGGCGGCCCACGTCATGATGATGCGCGTCTTGGTGGTGAAGGCGTTGCCGGACGGCACGTCGTGGTTGGACGTCGTGGTGACCACGTTGATGGCGCCCTGGTCGTCCCACGCCTCGACCGTGTCCACGCACTGGCACTTGGTCTGCTTGGGGCCCAGCGAGTTGTTGAGCGGCTTGATGTACGAGTACTCGCGCTTCTTGGTCTCCACGCAGGACTTGATGGGCGTCACGTCCCAGCACTTTTGGTTGTCCTTGAGAAACGCGCCGAGAATGTTCTCCTTGCCGAAGAGGAGGTTGGCCACGACTCCGAGCGGCGCCTTGACAACCTCCTTGCACAGGAGCTTTTCGCCCTTGGCCTCGGGGTCGTACCCAGGCTGCGTGGGAGCGTGGGTCTCGGGACCCAGGTTGGGAACGCTCCATTTGGAGGCGTCTGCGCCAGCATCGGCCGAAGCTGCAGCTGCAGCGCCAGAAGGCGCGGTTTCGGCCTCGTTGTCGGAGATGCCGGAGTCGAGTTCGCCGTCGTCGGTGTCGCCGTCGGACTCGTCCGAGCCGGCAACGCCCTGGGCGTTTTGTTTCCAGATTGTGTTCATGAAGGCGAAGGTGGCGTCGCGCGAGATGAAGGAGGCGTAGATGTAGGTGGAGTGGAGGGTCTGCACGACGATGCCGTTGGGGAAGAGGCCTGCAGTGGTTTTCTTGTCGAGTGAGACGATTTCGTCAAAGGCAATCACGTGGTGGGTCTGCCAGCCGAGAATGTTAGCGAAGAAGCAAATGTGCCGTTCGGACACAAACATGCGCCCCTGGACGAGGATTTCGCGGGAGTACGCGCAGCTGAAGTCGTCGAGCAGAAAGTCGTCTTCCGGCACGGCCTTGAAGTGCGCGTGGAACTCCTCGTTGCGTTTCTTGGACGCGTACGCAAAGCCGGTGATGGAGGCTGCGGCGGAGGTGACCGGGGTGATGTCTTCGGGCGAGACTGTGGTTTGCGTTTGTGTCGGCTCAAGCGAGTCGTTTCGTTTGCGGGAAGATCCGCCTCGAGATAGACGCTGGGAACGCAGACGTTTGACGACGGGCAGGTGGTCGTCCTCGATGTCGGCAAGCTCGGTTTTGACCTTGTCGATGATGCGGCCTGGGATGGCAAGCGGCGGCGAAAGAGAGCGGCGGTGGTCGGAGGACTCGGTGCCTGCACGGGAACGGCCGTTGGGCGTGGACTTGACGGACGTGTGCGACGTGGCCTTGTGTTTGGACGAGCCTGTGTTTGCGCGGGAGCGGGAGAGGCCGAGCTGCGCGAGCGAGAGGTCGCCTTGGCCGAGGGTTTCGATGGGGGCGGGGGAGGCGGGTTGGGGGGTCTGGGAAGGCGCGGAAGAAGAGGGCGACTTTGCGTTTGTGTCGGGAGAGTCGGGAACGTCGTGCCTTTCGGCGGAGCTCATAATATTGTTGGCGGCCTGCTGCGCCGCGGAGTACACGGACGAGAAGAAGGACGAGTCGGGGTCGGAGGGCTGGTCGGTCGCAGGGGTAGTGGCCATCCTAGGGAGGCAACTGCAGTCCTGGCGATGTCCTGACGATAGAGGCGTCCTGCGATAAGGGCGACCTGGTCAGATAAAGGCGTCCGATAAAGGCTCCTGACAGTAAAGGCTGTGCAGATAAAGGTCGTGCCAGATAAAGGCGTCCAGAAATAAAGGGCTGACCGAAAACAGCAAGTTTGGGGGAGAGGCAAAAGCGATGGTGGTGAAAGTGTATTCGGAGCTAGCGAGAAGCGGAAACGCAGAGCCCGGATTATACGGACGCCGCGGGTTCGATTCCGCAAAAAAAAAGCAGCGCAATCGAAATGCGCGCGCGCGGGTTACGTAAGCCGCGCAAAAAAACGGCAATTGCTGACTCACGTCGCCCGCAATGGCTGAATGAGCCATTTTCGCACGCCGGACTCTTCTTGCCCCGAAAGTGTAATCGTGCACCCCACATGTGCCTCGAGGCTATCTCCATACGGAGCTCATGTCAGATGCTCCATTTGCGCTATTACGTGATGTCTTTTCGACGCCTTTTTTTTATTATTATTCTAGCGACGCCTTTTCGACGTTCTAGCATGCAAAATAGGACAGTCCTGTTTGTCTCGTTGACCATGTTTGTATGTTCAAGTGCGGTACAAAGCCGAGATGTAAGATGTCCTGGAAATATGTATTTCCCTAGAATCAAAAAATGAGTTATTTGCCGTTAAATGAGCGGCCGAGCTACAATTTAACAATTTAACAATTCAACGATTCAACGATACAACGATACAACGATACAACAGCGATTAATGATTCAACGACAAATTACCGTACAAGTAATCTAAGACATATGCACGGTCAGCGATTACCAGCAACCCAGTCAACGGCCTGATTAGCTTGCCCACCGTTGTGTTTTTTTATTTCTTACATGTCTCGGATCGGCATTTTCACATCCCATACATGTTTGCTATTATATACAACTGTGTGTTATATACAACTGTGTACTTGTACGATATAGTGTACAAGGTATTCGGAACTTCGTACCCACTCCGTACTCCGACTCAATCGGTGGGCGAGGATCGACAACGTTGAACGGCGATACCCAAAAGAGTGGTTGCCTCTTCGGTGCAAAAAGAAACATCGAGATCTGCCGAGCCAGCCCTAAACGCCTCCCTTTAATCAGCAGTGTATCGAGCGGTTGAATCTAATATGTGCATGGCAGAGTGAGCTACTGTAGAGAACTGACGGAAGTTGCTACAGTACCTGTAGGACATGTCTGGTGACAATCACGTTTTTTTCTGTAATAGGCGGCAAGTGGCGCATCAACTAAATGCCAACAAACATGGTTTCAATAGATCTTCCCGAGACACCAGGCGTTGCTTGTGCATCGGAATCACATCCGTTTCTCGTGTACTTTTTTCTATAATAAAGCAATACATAATGTACATGATTTTCTTTCTAGCTCGATAGAGGAGATTCTTCTAGTTGCCACTTTGATTGTTCTTGTACATTTGACACTCTGGTATCCAGTACTCCGTACTTGTACTCCGTACTTCTATTCTCGTACAGTAATTACTGTATTCTAGAGTTTATGTATTGCTTCATAAAAAGGAGCAATCATGTGTATCGCAATTAAAACCGCTATTATAACTCGTCGCTATGACGCCTCGTGGATCGTGCTAATTTACAGTAATTAAAATGCAAAATGATTTGATTGCGACCCGAAAACAGATGCACGCACGTTCACTATGATGCAGCATGTTTTACGATTATTCCAATTTTTGCATCTCCGCTTCAACCGCATGCTGACTAAGTGCGCTGACTAGGTGCTGACTAAGGTGCTGCAAGAATGCGGAAATACCCCGATAAGGAAATCAGATATAATTATCACCAGCTTGTGTACTACCACTGATAGTAGTACTAGGAGTTTGTATTACAAATATGGAGTGCGAACGATGCAGCATGTTATACAATTTTCCACAACAACCAAATTCACCATTCAGTATTGCTGACTAAGCAACTGGAAAGACCCCAAAGTGAACAGGCAAAAGATACCCCGCAACGGAGAATTGGACTCCGTTCCCCGCATGCTGAACAAGTTCTGACAGGCGAAAATTCTAGCCACTAAACTATTGCGGAAGAAGGTGCGTTTCGAGGTGCATGTTTGAGTTTGGAGATGAGAATGATAAGAGCGTGTCGGCCTCAGAAATGCGATTTTGGGGTCGTATTTGGTATCGTATGAGTCGTCGTCTTCTTGCGAGTACTGGGACTTTCTTACTTTTGCTCTAGGCGTATGTTCGTACTTGTAGCGGGGTGTATTCAGGAGTGACTTTCATTTGTCTCATTATACGCAGATCTGTGCGTTTTCCAAGTTTTGGGCTAACGGAAATGCGTACTTGTACAAGTAGCCGGTTGTCAGGGTTTGAACAAGTGCAAGTTTCACTGTTAGAAGTACTGCGTTGATACAAGTAGAAGTACCAGTAGGTACAGTATGGAAAAATCTAATTTGTATTGATTCGTCTTGTGCTTTTACAAGTACTTGTAGTGTTTAGGTCAAGTTCGTGTTCTTCTTCTACAAGTACAAGTACAGAATTGAACTCGATCCAGTCTTACTTGTACAAGTACATACAAGTACCTTATATCTCTCGAATTGGCCACTTTGAACTCAGGTGGATATGCGAGAAAGACCCCTCCAAGAGTTGAACTGACAAGCGGACAGGTGGAGTTCTGAAATTCTCCTGCAGAACTGGTTTCTGCATGCACAGCCAAAACAGCTTCCACAAGGCAAGAATATGAAACCAGGAACGGTCTCCCGAGCAAACTGAGCAAACCGAGCAAATTGAACAGATTGAGCAGATTGAGCAGATTGAGAGCAATCGCAACTTCAGATCACGCCAGAACCGTGCTTCTCCTGTTCATCTGCATCTGAAACTTGAAATTGTGGTGTATACAAAAGCCGGAATATTCTCGGCCAATAAAGCCAACAGCTGCATGTGGGACATGCTCCTCAACGTTGAGCGTCCAGAGGGGCTGGATTGGCTCATTCTTCGAAACATGAATGTGGGGCAGCATGCAGACTCGATGGGGTGAGACCTACCTGCGGTATCTTTGCACTTGTGCTGGCGGAATTAAATGCAATCGAATCGACAGAGCACCGCTGACTCTTGCCAATTGAGCTGGTTTTGTCTCTTTTTTTCAGCTTTTTTCAACACTTTTTTCTTTTCTCCCTTGGACCGATCCGATGCACCTTATGCTTGACGCACACTTGTTGCCCCACAAAAAAGTAGGTTTGGAGCACAGACCTAGAATACGACAGAATACGATGGTGAAGTGGTAGTAGCTGTGATTCCATTATGACAGCACTTGTGTTGCTAGTACAAGTAATGACTTCTCTCGAGTTGTAAGTTGCACAAAACCAAAAGCCACAAAACAAAATCGCCTCAGAACCACCTCAAAACCACACCAAACACAACCAAACACAACCAAACACAACCAAACACAAAACCAAACACAAAACCAAACACCTCCTTTAGCTCTCCACAAACTTCCTCTGCTCCGACGCTTTGTCGGTTGCTGGACACCATGCACCCCTCTCTGGCCCAGGTATATAACGAGCCCTGACGCTCCAATTGTCGACACAAACACAAACACAAACACAAACACAAACACCACAAACACCATGTCTATCCCCAAGACCCAGAAAGCCGTCATCTTCGAGACCTCCGGCGGCCCTCTCATGTACAAGGACGTGCCTGTTCCCGTTCCTGCCGACGACGAGATTCTCGTGAACGTCAAGTTCTCTGGCGTTTGCCACACGGATCTCCACGCCTGGAAGGGAGATTGGCCTCTTGACACCAAGCTTCCTCTCATCGGAGGCCACGAGGGCGCTGGTGTTGTTGTTGCCAAGGGCAAGAACGTGACCACCTTTGAGATCGGCGACTACGCCGGCATCAAGTGGATCAACAAGGCCTGCTACACCTGCGAGTTCTGCCAGGTTGCCGCTGAGCCCAACTGTCCCAACGCTACCATGTCGGGATACACCCACGACGGCTCGTTCCAGCAGTACGCCACTGCCAACGCCGTCCAGGCCGCGCACATCCCCAAGAACTGCGATCTCGCCGAGGTCGCTCCTATTCTGTGTGCCGGCATCACCGTCTACAAGGCCCTGAAGACGGCTGGTCTCAAGGCCGGCGAGTGGGCTGCCGTGACTGGTGCTGGCGGAGGTCTCGGCTCTCTGGCGGTCCAGTACGCCAAGGCCATGGGCTACCGCGTGCTCGCGATCGACACCGGCGACGAGAAGGAGAAGATGTGCAAGGAGCTCGGCGCGGAGGTGTTCATCGACTTTGCCAAGTCCAAGGACCTGGTCAAGGACGTGCAGGAGGCCACCAAGGGCGGCCCCCACGGCGTCATCAACGTCTCCGTCTCCGAGTTTGCCGTCAACCAGTCGGTCGAGTACGTACGAACGCTCGGAACCGTGGTTCTGGTCGGTCTGCCTGCCGGAGCCGTGTGCAAGTCGCCCATCTTCCAGCAGGTTGCGCGATCGATCCAGATCAAGGGCTCGTACGTGGGCAACCGGGCCGACTCGCAGGAGGCCATCGAGTTCTTTGCCCGGGGACTGGTCAAGTCGCCCATCATTGTGGTCGGCCTGTCCGAGCTCGAGAGCGTCTACAAGCTCATGGAGGAAGGCAAGATTGCCGGCCGATACGTGCTTGACACTTCCAAGTAAGGGGAGTGACTGGCCGAAGGTCAGGAACGGACACGATGGGCTTTGCCATGTGCGTTCTAAGTAGCCGATTTAGTTATGATTTATGATTGAGATGAGACGTGCTTTGTAGATTGTAGACACTGCGTTTGTAATGTTCTGGAGACATGTACTTGATCTCGTCCTCCAATCACGCTGACTGGTATCATTGGTATCATTGGTGTTAGTGGTGTCAGTGGTGTCAGTGGTATCATTGGTATCATTGGTCTCATGAAGGCCTTTCCACAAACAAGTTGGTGACTATCGTAAATCGTGAATCGTGAATCGTGATCCGTGAGTCCTGAATATCGTGAGATATAATGATATCGTCCCAATGATGACGTCGACTATCGTGATGTGAGGATGGCCTCCCAGACAAGCTGACACAAAGTCTCCAGACAAGCGTCCACGAAACGAACCAAAGCTGTTATATGTAGAACAGATACGCACCTTGGAGGTTCTGTTCCAGACCACCTTGGGGGTTACCACCTTGGAGGTGACCTTGGAGGTGACCTTGGAGGTTTCGGACACAAAGAATTAACCGGTAGATAGACGGCTCGGTCAGACGGAGAGCTTTTGTGGGCAAAGGGAGCAGGTATGTTGTGTTTTCATTAGTGCAGAATACGACGATCCTTTGAAGATCTTCATGTGATGTCTGTGCAGAACGGATGTACAATTAGTAGTGTTCTAAGCTATAAACTTGGTACTTTATGCCATAAACCAGTTATTTTATGGCATAAACCAGGTACTTTATGGCATAAACCAGGTACTTTATGGCATAAACCAGGTACTTTATGGCATAAACCAGGTACTTTATGGCATAAACCAGGTACTTTATGGCATAAACTTGGTACTTTATGGCATAAACTTGGGACAGAACAGTCTCAAAAACCGTATCCAAGGTCAGAATGGCTCTACGACTGTATTGCAGAAAAAAAATTTGAACATATATTTTTGTCTATAGCAAGTCTATATGTAGACGACCGCCGGTAAAATCACCCCTGAATAGTCACCAATCAGCATCCCAAGCGAAGATGCCGATAAAGTTTGCGATAAGCTTATCAACGATGAGCAGCAAGCTTGTGAGCAATCCAAGCAATGGTAGTTCAAGCGGTGTCATTGTTACAGTAGATCAATGATTTTGAATTCCACCAAGTCGAATTCGCTTATGGTGGTCTCAAATGTGACTATGTGGTGATTCTCATTTCGATCTGGATTTACTGTATGTACTGTTTTCCAATGGTGAGGAACAACAAGACAGACGATACAACTGGCATTTACTGCACCAATATACTCGCCGATGACGTTCTCACTGCCAACGACTTCTACAGTACTACAAGTACTTGTATCCAAATACTTCTTACTTTTCCTGCTAAAAAAAATAAAAAAATAAAAACAATAAAAAATAAAAAAAACCAGATACAATACTTTTTACTGTACCGGTACTTCAACCACTGCCACACTCAATTACCAAGCTACAACACTTCAACCACTTGACATACTCAATTACCAAGCTACAACACTTCAACCACTTCATCATACCTCAATTACAGCATACTGCACTACAACCACTGCCATACTCAATTACCAAACTACAACTACTTCAACCACTTTATTATACTCAATTAAAGTACTTCAACCACTGCATACTATACCAATATTCCAATGCCTACAACTTGCTGAGCTTGTAGACCATCTTGCCGGTGTTGGCGCCCTCAAACAGCGACTTGAGCGCCTGGGGCAGCCCCGACACGGGGCCCTCGATCAGATGCGTCTTGGCCTTGAGCTTGCCCTGCGCAATGAGCGTGGCCAGGTCCTTGATGATCTCGGGGAACCGGTCTGCGTGGTCCATCACGATGAAGCCCTGCATCTTGATGCGCTTGGGCACCACCTGCAGCAGGTTGTAGATGGCCTCGGGCTTGTCCAGGTTGTACTGCGAGATGCCGCCGCACATGACGAACCGCGCAAAGTCGTTGGCCGCCATCAGCGCCATGTCCAGGATCGCGCCGCCCACGTTGTCGTAGTACACGTCGACGCCGCCCTTGGTCGCCTCGCGGAAGTCCTTCTTGAAGTCGGGCGACTTGTAGTCGAGCGCCACGTCGAAGCCCAGCTCCTTGGTGACAAAGTCGCACTTGTCCTTGCCGCCGGCAATGCCGATGACCTTTGCGCCTGCGATTTTCGCGAGCTGGCCGGCCACAGAACCGGTAGCGCCCGCAGCGCCAGACACAAGCACGGTCTCGCCGGACTTGATGCCGCCGGCCACGCCGTTGATGCCCCACCACGCGGTGAGCCCCGTGAGGCCCAGCACGCCCAGGTGGTCCTCCAGGGGACGCCCGGGAGGCTGGGCAGCTTTCTGTGGTCCGAGCCGTGGCCCACGGCGTACTCGGAGAAGCCCACG